GAAGAGGTAAAGCAATCCGGATGGATGCAACGCCGGACTGTGCAAACCAGCAGCTATCAGGTGTATTTAGCACCGTCGCGCTCCTTCTCAGCAGCAGTTTCAGAGGCACGGAGGCCGGACGTGGGACACGGGGTGATGGAGCGAGGAGGGCAGGAGAAGCCACAGCAGGGTAAATTCCACCCCACTTTGGCCACTGCAGCAGCCACGGAAACGTTCCTTCCTTGCCGTTTCATGAGTCAGCACTTCCAGCGTCAAGACTTTACACTCAAATTGAAACATGCATGGGAGGAAGATAATCTGAGCTCCACAAAGGGATAAAATGGCAAGCTTAGGTGGTTTGTCAAGGATTGGGGCTCGGGCAATTTTTACTCAGCATTTCCATACTGCTAGTGGTTTCACTTTAAATATGCAGCAGTCGAATGTTTGTAGCCAAATGCAGGTTTCAATAGTTGCACTGAATTTGAAAGCCAATGTATTTAACATTTAAATACACTGCATGCACCTTATGAATTATTTACTTACACCAGCCTTTCCGGAGACGTAGGGATATTCTCACACCCACACATGCATAGCAGCACAAACACATCTATGTACATCAGCTGAGTCTTCCAGCTAATCATGCTTTTCTGTAGCTATTTAGCATGCTGCTATTTTCATTTACAGGTCAGGGTGGGTAGTGGATATCAAATATGGACATTTTTTTGCCCAGTGAGGGACTGACACATCGGCTAGAATCACGTTGATGGTTATTCAACAGAACTGCAGTAGCCGCTATTTTTGCTCCATTCCCACAGCAGCAATAAAACAGTAGCACAAAACAGAAAGTGACACACCAGATACATTGAACAGCAGCTGCCCTTAAAATCCGAGCAGTCCCCATGGACTGATTTGCCTTTTGCAAACGTTACCTTTTTTTTTCCCCCCACCCCTACTAAGGGGGTGCAATTAAAGAAGAAGAGGGGGAAAAATGGGATCATACGAGCACTAAGAGCAAACAGTGAGACCAAAAATACATGACTGTGCTCTGGGAGATGTGTGGAAAGGAATGCATCAGTAAGGTGCTTTATTTAAGAAAAAATTGTCATGAATAGCAGGTGGACAGACTCCTGCTGCACTGTCCAGTCCTTGCCTTGATTAGGAAAAAAATTCATTTTTTAGTTGATACCAAAGTAAGAAGTTGTCTATGAAAGCCATGTAAATAGTGAAAGCACACATCAAATGTGCCCTTGGGCAGGATTAATGTACAGACAACATTTTGGAAAAGCATATTTTTCTTTTTTAAACAGATAAGTGTATTTTGAACAGGAAATATTTTGTACTTTGAAGCAGGAAGACTTATTTTTATGGTGTTCCATGCTGCCCTGTTTTAGGTATTGCACATCCTAAGATATGGAATGAAAAAAGCACTTCTCTGGTGCCAAAGGGGAGCAGGACTTGAAAGAACACAAAAGTACCACTTAACTTGTAACAGGTGCACTCTGAATTTTTTTTTCCAGCTGAACTCTGTAAGTCTGCAAAATCTGAGAAACAGAATATTAATCTTTGATGAAGCAAACCTAAAACTGTATAGGCTTGGGTTGCAGTCATAATGATATTGTATTCAAATGCCAAGACTCCTTTCTGAATAAATTCCCTTAAAGTATTCTGTAGAGCAATATTCCATGGGGAGACTGAACTAACCTCCACTTTCAAACTCAAGATGATACACAGGCCAACCAGAACTAGAACTGAAGCTAAAAATATTCAAAGGCCCTATCACTGCATAGCTTGTGATAGTAATCTTTTTTTCATAACATATGTTCACAGATATGTCATCATCATCTGTTGTCAGACTACTGGCAAATAAAGACTTGCAAATTTTCCTGCATTTTTCACATCTCTGCTTGTTCCAGCAGTAACACTGCCTGCTTGCCTTTTATTCACCATGTCTGGCATGTTCTAGTAATTCTCTGTCACACTAAGATCTTGTGCCCTCAATATTTGTTTGCTTGGCTTTTTAAAATAGATGTACAGCAATTTCTCTTATTTCCCCCCCCCCCCTCTTATTATCTACAATACATTTATTTCTTCTGATTTAGGTAGGACAGGAATCCATTTCTATATCCTGCACACACCCTCAACAGTTTAAGACTCGAGTCATCCTTTTATTTAATATCAACAAACAAACCAGCCAAATTTGATCCTGGATGAAAACATAACTATTAGCATAGTAAAGCTCAGCTAAAAAGACCTGTCCCCAGTACTTCTAGTTATGGGATCTAGAAATACTTCCAAGCTGCTATGACTGTTCTGCCTGCACGTCAGGATGAGCCCCAAGACTTAATCTTCTCTTATTCTTTGATTTTCACTGGGAGAAGGCCAAGGTGTGCAGGTTAGGAACATGCCAGAGCATGCTGTAAAAGGTCTGGATGATCTGAACAGTAAGGCACTGGGACTGCAGGGCACAGGCACAGAGTATGGTACAGATTTTGCTATTTGCAGCACCGAAATGGGGCCTTTTTTGCCCTAAATGTAGGAATTTTCAGTACAGAAAATTAATTTCCAAAGGGTGAGAGCAAGTGAGTATTAACTAACATTAGTGGCTGGTACCCACTGCTAGAATTCTGTCATCATACCCAATAAGCCACAGTTTTTCTCCAGAAGCTATTATTCTATGTAGTCAGGCCTAGAACAGCAAGGAAGGTAAATAAATATGTGCAGAACTTCACATCTCAGGGGGATGACCCCAGAGAGTAAAGACAGAACTGTAGTAAGATGTGTACTGTCAACGTTCACAATGCTCAAAGCCATCCACTACTAAATTCCATTTACTTAGGGAAGATATACCAACCACGCAGATTTTAAGGCTGTGAGTTAGTTTCCCTGATGCTGATGGGAATTTCAACCTTAGTCAAGGAAGTGTCTGGGCCTGAAGGAGCCTGAAGACACCAATAATCACTAGCAGGTGATGAGTGTCTGTGTTGAATGATCCCATTTAAAATCCTGCCAGGCATCTATTTGCCTCTTCAGCTCCTTAGTTACTTTTGTGTATCTGGCCTTTGTTATTTGGAGAGTCTTTGGTTTATTCTTCTTTCTATAGTCTTTTGTCTTTGAAGGATTGATTTATTGCTATCTGATATGAGCTACATAATCCAACAAAAATGCCTTGTCTGAACAGTTTATAGTTCTGCTTAAGATTTATGTTTCATCCATCCTTCCTTTTTCTTCTTTACGATTTTAAAGGTTTGCCTATTCAGAAATAAAATCCTCTTCTAGGAAAGGAAATTAACCAAAATCTGATTCACTTTAAAGTCTGAGATAGCTCAGTTTAGGATGTGCTTTTTGTAACATAAAAACCATACACGTTCCCTGCTATCCATGTTCCCCAGTACATTTTTCCTAATGCACTTGAATTGTTCCTACCTCTCACTCCAGCTCTTCCTCAGAAATTTCTCATTTTTCTCCAAACTTTTCTTTCTGTTGTTTCACCTGATTTAAAACACTGTGGCCAACACAGTTTTTACTGGTTTCACCTTGTCTTCAACTTTGTCTTGAATCTCTTCCACACCTTGGGATGACTGTTCTATCTTCAGCCCATGCATAATTGTTTCCTTAATTATTTAACCTCTTACCCACCATCTTTCACTCATCCTGAAATCCCTTTCTTCAATTCCCTCCTAATAACGGATTCTGCATTAAAATCCTCATGAAAGCAAATGTTGGGAAAGCTCCTGTAACAACAGATTGTTTCTGATGCAATAATGAATGCTGCAGATTAACATAAATAGCTATTTTACTTCTCAGTAAATGGTTCTATTAGAACATCATAAACATTCTGCAAGGCACCTCATTGGTGCACCCTGAAGGGTGCACCTTGCTACCAAATGCAAGATATGGACAGTCCTGAGACCAGCAGTTTTATGCCCACTTGTGTGGGCAATTCAGTCTCCCAGTTGTGGAATTGCCTGGGGAAACCATGAACTCCATAGCTCAGTGAGCTGCAAGGGTGGGAACTCCAACCAAGGACTTATCACCTCCTTCCAAAATTGCACACTGCCTAAACTGTTACCTTGGTTTGGAGCCCTCAGACTGCTGGAGAGTCGTAACACCTTCACAGCACCATTGTACCAAGGGCTGGGATCAAGAACAGAATATGGTCCTCTGGATCTGAGTGTTCAGGAATCAAAGAGGCTGTGGGGGGAGGGTGGGAGAGAGAAAAGGGGACATGGCCTGGGCTTCTCTTCTACAAGAGTTCTGGTCTCAGCTGTTGTGTCTGGAAGGATTTTGCTCTGGAAGACAGTGACATTAGTACTCTGATAATCCAAAGTATTTTTCAGCACCCTCCAGTTTGTGGATACACTCCTAAGTTAATACTTAAAGAATGACATGCATGCAGTTTTCACACCAACGAAACTCAGACTCAAAGTGAGAATCCTGTGGAAATTAAAAGCTTCTGAAAAATCATGTGCCCTTTATATGGACCCCTTGACTCGTGTTTAGCAATGCTTTTCTTTCCTCAGCTGCTCTTCCTCAAAGGTGTCAGAAGTTCTGCAGCCTCTATGTACCTCAGCAGAAGGCACAGGGTGCTCGATGTCTCTTAATGATCAACCTACTAATTTTGATGCCATTGACCTCTGCAGCAGGGCTTACTATGCACAAAATATGATAATATTAAACATTTTAAAAAGGAGGGGTTTTTATGTTTCATTTCAAACCAAGTATTTCTGATTAAGGGAGTCAGTTCAATTCCTACCAGTTTGCATCTAAACCTTTTTAAGGGTTGTAATAATCTTCTATACCTAAAAAAAAAAGCAATGACTAACATTAGGTGTGCAAGCAAATATTTTTAACCCCAGAGCACAAACAAGGGTGGGCAGGTAGGCTTTGTTGCTCTCAGCTAAGCTACATATGGGATTTCTGATGTGATCATTCACATTTACTATGACTGTCAATCCAACATCTGCTGTTGCCATATTGGACTGTGAATATTTCAGATCAACAACTGAAATCCAGATGTGCTTGTGTCATGAGCTCTATGCACTCTACTTGAAATGATTTGTCTTCAAAAACAGAATTACGGATGCACTCACGCTTGCAGCAGTATCCTGAAATGTTCCTCGTGCACAGCAGAGCTTTTGTGGGAGAACTCAGACACCTGGGTCCAAACTCTCTGGCACTCTGGGCAAGAGGTGTGTGCAGACGGGACTCCCTCCCTTCTCGGTGCAACAGCTGGAGGTAGAAGACAAACCAGCATCACATTCCATGCCATTATTATCCCCATTTCTAATTTAATTCTTTTGCACTAACATCCCCCCCCCCCCCAAATTTTACTGTGCAGTCTCCCTTCTAAGGATAGCGTAACATATGGTCTCAAAATCAACAAAAGCCATGCTTGTTTTTTCCCTCATGTCTCTCTGCACAACTGAGTAATTTTGAAAAGAAAAGGGTTGTTACAAGCAGTACATTTGTGACCCTGTCTTGTCTCTTTTTGACTGCTCGAGTTGAGGATTTCCATCCTGGTTGCTGGCTTCACCTTCCTTCCCTTTTGTAGGGGGACTGGAGGAATGAGAGCTGTAGGAGAGTTGGAGGGTTGATGAGCTGTAAGGAGCAAAAGAGGCAGGATGGGCACAATCACATAACCCGGGGGTACGGCTATGAGAATTTTTCAGACTGACTTTATTATGAGAACCAAGGGGTTAATTTAAACACGGGGAATTCTGCATGTATCTAATACTTCAACATCCTGCCTCAAAACAATGGATATTTCTTGTTACGACAGAGGAAAGCTGTTGTTAAGGCTTAATTCATATCAGAATGTCTTCAGACCAAATATTAGTTTTTTTCTGTTTTCTCCTCTCACCAAGCCTGGGTACTAACTGGTGCTAGAGGTGGGGTTCACATACACACATGAAGAGCCACACACCAAACTCTTCGTCTGTATGGGAATCAAACAGGGAGGCCTGGACAGCGGCCCTCAACTTCCAAGCAAAAAACATTCACAGATTTGACCAACTCCGGAGTTTAAAGTATTGCTGCTTTCAAAGGAGTACAGAGGACTGCTCATTTCCCTGTGAGTGGTAAAACACACAGAATTGCTCTCTGACCACCATTAGCATGGTCCAATGTGGCTTTCAAACTCCCTGTGACATGATGGGGAAGCACAGGAGTGCACACAGCTACACAGCATCTCTCGGGGCAGCAGTGCACAGCCTTGCTCATGGCTGCAGAGAAACATATACCCCCAGGACAGAGAATGGACTCACTCTGGCTAGAGCCACACTTCAGGACTGGGCCACAGAGTTGAAAAACACTGCACTGGGGAGAGTAAAAAGACAGGAAAGAGGTACAGGGAAGTGTACAGGGAACTTACATCGACCCATCTGAGCTACTAATGCAGTTTATTTTCCTAATTCTGCTCGTTAACACATTTATTGGATCACTTAGTTCAGATGTGTGTAACTTCCGAAGCGTGTTCCTTGTTGGTTTGTACATGGCACTTCTCATCTTCTAAGTAGAATTTATATTTTTAGACACAAGCCAAAGCAAAGGTGCTTTTAATAAAACAATTACAACCAAGCAGGAGTATTCTGAGAAAAAAAAAAAAATCACTGGAAAATACTGATTCATGGAAGCCTGCCTTTGCCTTTTTTTTTTTTTTTTTGTTAGGAAGAAGGTCAGAGAAATATTTTTCAGAACTTTAACTTTTTGTAAGAAAAAGCTGTAGAGAATAAACACATTACTGCATTCACCTGAGACACAGGAGACCCAGATTCAACTTAGAGCTTTACCTGATTTAATTTTGGCCTCAGCAAATCCCCGGTGAATGTCTCAGTCAAGTGCATACATCTCAGCCTCTGGTATCAGCCCAGGGAATTTATGGAGTCTGGGAGTGTAAAATGTTCCCTGGATACTCCTCAAGAAGGCATGACAATGGCAGGAGTGGAACCCAGACCTGCAAAAACGCTGGGAAAGAAAAACACGTGCAAAAACAAACTTGCCCAAACGAAATGAAAAAAATCTCAATTTACAACATGTCAGTCAGAAAATGTGCTAAAACAGTAAGAAGCTGAGCTCCTCTACCATAAAACCTGGGCAAATTGAATGTCTTCCATGGGGACTGAAATTCCCATTTTTGGTGATAAATATGCTTTAAACCATCCTCTTGAAAAAAAAAATTCTGATATCCTTAAGTCAGAGGAAAATTCCCAGTGACTTTATTAAGAATTTTGTCTTGATGAATAGAGATTTTGGAGTTCAGGAGGTGGCCCTGAAATTTCAGGGTCAGATCTCTTCAGCAGAGCAACTGAACACAAACCAACCAAGCTCAAAGGAGTCACCCAGGGCTCCGAAATCCTTCTCCTCCCCCTAAGGCATCGTGCAGCAACGTACAAGTCACGAGTGTGATGCGCAATTTGCCTTCTATTTGCCAAGTTCTGCATTCCTTTTCTGATCCAGACTACTGTGCTATCACACTGAATGCCACTGCAGGCTCAGTAAGTGCCATAAGATGCAACAAGTCCACGGTTTCTCAGACTCTGCATTTCCCACGCTGCTTGGATTTACTTGTCACTCTTTTCCTGCTTGATAACTGCAGGGATGAGAATATTAGGAGTGGCAGTCTGACCAGTGACCACTCTGGGCATTCAACCTGTCAGAGCTGAAAACTCATGAATGAGCTGCAGTGGGTCAGTGATGTGCTCACACATCAACCAGAGCAGGAGGCTCCTCTACAATAAGGCTCTTCCTCATCATATATCCAAAACAGGAATGGAAGCCATAAAATAAAATAAATTAAAAAAACCCCAAGCCAAAACCAAGCAAGGATCAAAAATCACACAATAAAGATCTAAGTCTATTTTCAGCATAGAGAAAACATAAAAAACTATTTGCTTGTCCTTTAGACACAGTATCAGACAGGTGTTGCACTAAAGATGACTTTTTTTTTTTGCAGAGTCATAGCAGAGATCTGACCCTTTCTCATACACTGAATTCAAACATCAGATGTGCACAAATCCTTATAAATCTCATAAATATATATATTTATATTTATATAATTTTTTTTATATATATCTCAATCAAACCCCACAAGTACAAGTAAATGAATTCAAATGTACTCATTGCTCAATTAAATCTCATCCAGAGATGGGTCTGGGCAGCCATGGCCCCAGTTCAACAAACCACTTAAGCATATGCTTAAAACAAGCTCTGGATCAATTCCCAGTGAGGATTAATGCATATTCGTAAATGCTTCGGTCCTTTAGAGACCACGGAATGAAATATTGCTGGAAAAGCCTTAAAAAGTAAAAGCACAATTTTAGTTGCTTGTTTTTAAATTAGCTTCAGCCACACTGAATATTCCAGACTCAGCAAACTCTCCACAGACAAATGTTTATTTTCATTCTATAGCACCTTGTGCAATGAAATTAAAATTTCAGAATGCAGCGCGGGGCGGCCAGAGGGAAGGATGAGGACAGAAGGTGGAGGTTAATGCAGGAGGACTGTCTGAGCTTTCCAAGTACATTGTAATAGAAAGCACATGAAAAGGATGGCTAAGCTGGTAAATAATGATAGATCAATCTACTGCTATTTCTGTGGCTCTGCAAGATGTACATGTCCTGACACTCCTCCTTATGTATTAAATTGAGAATGTGAATTGATATAAAGTGAAATGTTTTCTTTCCCTCAAGCTCCTTCTGTGCCTAGATGGACTGATGTTCACACTCCACTTTTTTCCTTTGGTTAACCAAAGAAATAAATTCTTGATTAGACCCACATTATTCATGTTTTGCAGAGAATTTTTTGCCTACACATACAAGTCCTGCTGGGGTAAGCCAGCAGAGACCTATTGACTTAGTGTCGTAGCAAATTACATGGCCTCATAGTCAGATGAAATATTAACTCAAGGGACTGATATTTTCACTGGATCAAAGACCAACTAATGAGAAACAGAGTACCGGTTTTCAAAGAGGGTTTAAAAAGTTAGAACAAAACACAGATCATTTAATATACTGCAAAAGTTGCAGTAACTTCCTGACAGTTTGCTTGCCTACAAACCTCTTAGCCCTGATTTATTAACATTAGCTGCTGTGCCAAGTTCATGTCATAAAGGATAGATGCTGTGTGCCCACGCTCTGCTTGGAACTGCATAAACATGATCATCAACTAGATTTGACATCATAATCAAAACAATGAAAACAAGCTAAAGGTGGCGGGCAATATCCAAGAAGCTGTATTAAGAAGCTCTGTCTACATTATGAAAAATAAAATTTGTCTCCAATGATGGAGGGAAGGACCTGTTTTTTAAAGGAATTCAGGTGCTTAAAGGAGCAGATGGGTGCACAGTGGGATTTTTAGAAGCTCTTTGATGGCAACTCCCACTGAAATCACTGTGTATTAGGCAGCTAGGTATTTCGGAAAATTCACATTACCTGCATCTTTAAGCACCTAAATACCTTTAAATATTTGGCCCAAAGACAGCTTACTGTAACGTCATAGGAAACAGAATAGTCCCTGCTCAAGGGAAAATAGTTTATTGTATGGTCAATTAATTTTCAAGCAAGAGAAATCCATGTAAGCAATTTGTAAGAGAAATTAGGCCAGAACTCCTGAGCTATGACTTCTGAGCGGTATTTTGTAATTGAAATAAGAGATATGGCACACAAAGAAACCTTGGACATTTTTTTTTATTTGCAAGATGATAAGGTACGTGTACGGATAAGCTGCTCCTCTTAAACTGGAGCCCATCCGGAATGTTTGGGCCTCAATCCCACCGAAGAGCAAAAGATAAATGTGGTACCTTGGTGCTTGTGAAGGGAGTCAGGGGCTGGTAAGTGCAAGGGCTACAGGAGGGACACACACCCTGCAGGGAAGGCAGGCAGATGGACGTAGGCGTCATTTGTCTCTTTGGTCTGGGAGAAAGACATCAGCAGCTGCAGCTTTTTGTCTCAAGGAAACCCTGGAATTCCAAATGGGAACCTGTAAGATTTTTTGGGACACTTATGGCCAACACTGTGAGGGGAAGAGGGCACTGCAGGTGTCATGGAGGTGAGACAGTGCACCTAGACTGGCTCACTGCCATTTAGTTCTAATTCCACTGGTCCAAGAACAAAGCAAAGAGACCTAAGATAGCAAGTCCTGCACGTATCCTTTCACTCCTGCTTCAGGAGCGGGAGCCATAAGTAAAGAAGCCCTTCTACTTGCTTGCTTCTGGCTACTGTCTTGCATCCAGGCTTTGTCCTGTTAGCCTGAGGTCTAGGAAAGCAAACAAGTTTTCTTGGCTTACCTTTTACAGAAGAGTAAAATAACAGCTCTAGAGCTGCATCATGCCACCTTTCAGTGGCAGAAGAGGATTTCTCCTTCATCACCAGTCTGTGTATCCCATCCAAGTCACTTCATTTAATGTGGAAAAAACAAGCAGTGACAGAACAGGGCCCTCAGAGTAAGGCTCCCAGCATAATGCAGCCACAAGAATTTAACAAGTGGGATTTACTTAACTGGTCACTAAGTGTTAGGATTGCTTTAAAGATATATTGCTGAAAGTGTTTCTCTGGCTATAAAGAAACAGAACCAAGGGAGCAGAGAAAATGCCTGGCAAGCAAACTCTCTCCCTTTTGTTTAATAGCTCTCTTCAGATTTGTAAGCCCAGAAAAAGCTTCATTAAAGTTAATGGACAAATCTTTCAGGGAAAAAAATTAAGTACTTAAATGTTACTAGTTTTGGTCTGAGCACACAAAATTTCTCTTCCTTGCTGGGCTCACCCCAAGATAGCAGTCTTCAGACAGAATTACATAAATATTGACAGCTTTCAGGCTGGCTTTTTGTCTCAGACCTTATAAGTGACTGGCAGAGTTCACGGGCCAGGTTCACGAGCCTTGTAAGTGGGCACAGCTTCACTGAAGTCAGTGGGAAGCCTGCACACATTACAGGAACCTTCCATAAATAGAACAGAGCTGTGTCCATTTGTACCAGAAACGACTGCAAATTACTGCCAGAAACATTACAGAGTACATTTTTCACTCTGTAGACTTCAGGCAAACCATTCCTGATGACACCGTACGAAAACACCACCCCCGAGTCACTTCCTCAGCTATTGCCATGGCACCCTTTCCCTTAACATTTAAAACCTCTCTAACACACCAGTGCCAATTGCTATCACCCTTGCTACACCTCCAGTGTGCTACTATGCTTACTTTTCAATAGGTGACTCAGGCACAGATTGTGACCTTCACCAGGACCCAGTGAGTTGATGGGGAGACACAGCAAGGTGCTGGGACAAAGAAAGGTGAATATAATCCCTTATATAATGGATTTAACACTCAGTCTTTACTCACATCAGGCATTTCGCAGAAGAAATGCTTTAAATAGCTTCTTTATCCACTCACAGTACAGGAAGAAGTAAACTTACCCTGCTGTATGCTTCTAAAAGGCAAAATTAAAAAAAGCTCAGTTAACAATACATACTGCCATTTTATATCTTAGATGAGATTTTAAATGGGTAGCCATTAACAAAAAAGGCTGTGCAACTTCCACCCTAAACCAGGCAAAACTGCGACTAAGAATGGGATGCTGCACAGAGACAACTGTGTTCTAGTACCACACCTGAGGTGAGACATAGCAAACATAATCTGCAGTTCCCATTTGGGTGTTGAAAAGTGTAAAAACAACATTTGAGATGTCCTGTTCTTGCCAGACATGAATGATGCAATCAAAGATGAAGTATCCTGCTGTGAAGCCTGCAGTTCATACAAGGAGCAGAATGTAAGAGAGACCACTTACACAACACGAGACTTCTGACTGCCCTTGGAACAAGGTTGGCAGAGACCCCTCTGGATGAACAAGGAGGAGTCATTTCTCATTAATAGACTGTTCCTAAAATTTTTACGTACTACCTCACTGATATCATTATTTATAATATCAGTGTGATATTGTTATCTGCTGTTTGTTCAAATGAATACAGTTAAAAA